CTGTTCTGTAAATGTCCCAATGTCTCACTTTGAGATCAACACCCCCTTCCCCCTCCAGCACACACTCCAACATGGTGATGCAGCCTTTGTAATTCCCGAGAGAGCTTTAGGGGCCAGTTTCCTACCTACAGGAACAGCTGCTTTTGCTGGAGGGCTGCATCAGAAGCATGTGGGCTTTCTTGCAATTTAAGGGTCTGATCATAGCATATTCATGGAAAGTAAAACTAGCCCAAAGAAGTCCATGTCTAGTAAACACCATGTTTCCAGGCACCAGGAACTTTGACTTTGCAATGTAGGCATAAAATGGGACATTAGGGAGTGCTGGAATGGGCTGGGTTATACTGCAGTAACACACAACCTCATAATTTTAGTAATTTAACATGACAAAAGTTTCTTTCCTTTTCATGCTGCATTACATGGTGGGCTTCAGGGGCTCTACTCAGAGAACTTGGCTGATAAAGGCTCCACCTATGGATGGAAAAGACAAACTGGAGAATCTCCTACAAGAAGTTAAATGCTTAGTCCCAGAAGTGACATACTTCATATCTGCCCACAAGCCACTAGCTCCTTGTAGTCCTAACATATGCCCAGAAGGAAGAGAACCAGAAATACTGTTAAGCAGACTTTCTACATTTGGATACCATAATGTTTCACAACACACTCAGAGCTATTCTACCATCTGTCCGCCATGTCATATACTTTGGCATGTTCCAGAAAACCAAATCCATAGAGTGTTAGGAAATTGAGTGTTTCAGAGAGTAACTGTCTAGCTTCACATCACTGAAAGGCAGGATGATATATGGAATTAATCCTGAATGGGGAGGAAGAGGACCTGGGTTTGATTCTTTGCTCCTGTTCTGCTGTGTGTCTTTGGTCTAGAGTCTCTTTCTTGGAAATAGAACCACTCAATTCAGTGATCACTTGTACTCTATAATTTCCAAAACATTTCTTCACATCTTTCTAGAAACTTCCATCCCTGAGATCTGACAGACCAGTGTTAGTTTGCAAGGTAAATATCACATCAATCTTATTGGCAGGAAGTTTAACTTTCACTACTTAATACTTTAGGCTTCAGAAATTATCTTGAAAGAAAGGAAGGGGAATAACAAGCAGAGAGCTTCAGGTATAGCTTCCCTGAAATGCTTTGATCAGGGATTCCCATGTCACTGCTTCCTCTCTGTGTGGCAAGGAGTTGAGGATGGGCTTTAGAGTCAGACTGCCATTTACTTACATTTTCTCAGCCTCCTTACTTGCAATGGGAGAGAGTAGTATTTCCTTGGATACGGGTTTCTTTTGAGGATCTAGTGAGATGAAGTAGAGCTCTTAGCACAGAGCCTGGCACGTAGTAAGTAGTCAGTGAGTGGTGGATGATGTTATTATCATTATTATTATGAACTCTTTCCATTATTGTGACTTCTAAATGTTTTAGAAAGATTTTGTAAAAATAACATGCCAGATGAATGCACCTTACCTCCTCATACTGTCCCAGTCACTGAAGATTATTCCAGGAGCTGGAGCCAGGTGAGTTGACCTGAGGCTTGGGGGAGCCAAGGGGATGTGCTGAATTCATTACCAGCACTGTGCTAGGATGGGCCAGGTTGAGGGGCCCCAAGGACCAGCCTCATGGTCCCCTGCCACACAACCTGCTTGTTCCCTGCTCTTGGGGACCTCACAGTCCCTGTCCAATTTAAAGTTCAAACTCTGCAACTACATAAAGTAGGAGGCTTGGCAGCTGAGGAACATGGGCTTCAGAGACTCCAAGTTCCTTGTCCTGCCCCACAGGTCGCTGCTGGAGTGAGGGGGGAATAGGAGAGATGCTGGACAGGAAAAATGAAGACTGGGCCTGTTGTAACCCTGCATGTTAGATGCCACAGGTCTCTGTCCTTCAGTAGGCCTGGGTATTTGGCCTGTGAAATGTGTTATCTCCTTGCTAGCAGGACTTGGATTAATCCAAGTTTAAAGAAATTTAATTGCTTTTAAGATGTGAGACCCTTAGTATATGAGAGAAACCTTTCAAGTCAGATTTGTTCAAGCACATGAATTTTTAGGCTTCTTTAGTCCTTTTTTCCTTCCTGTCCTTTCACAATACAGAATAATCACTTGACACAGTTTAGACCCTAAAGAACTGTCTTCAGTAAAGAGCAGACATTACAAATTATCATCATACACTGTGATTTATCTTCTGGAATTTTATCAGGAACACAGGTCAAAGTAAAAATCAGAAGATTATTAGTACTTATTTTCTACACTTGATCTTAGCCAAAAGGCTGAGAAGCGATACTTATTTTCTATCTTCTCATACAATGGTGCCCTTTTACTTTCCTATGGAAACCTGAACTCAACAGGTCAGAGACAAATTCATTGTCTCCACCCTGCCCCCATCTGCTGTGCTCCCCGCCATATATTTTCCCACATATTATATTTTCATCTCCCAAATATTATTTATATGTACTGTCAATATCTCCTGAATATTTCTCATCTCTACCTTCTCTGCTTCACCTTCACTGCCCACCTGCTTCAGGTCACAAGTGCCTGAGGGCTGAAACAGCCCCCTTATCTCCTGCCCCAAGCTGTGCCTTCTCCTTTGACATCTCCTCTAGGGCAAGGTGCTCTCCTATTTCTTTCCTTTCTTTTTTAGTGATTTCCTAACTGCACTCTTTTTATTAATCCAAATTCACTGAATTAAATATTATGGAAACCTGCATTAAGATTTTTTTACTACCATATTTCATCAATTTTAAGACATAGTTTTAATATAATACCTTTGAATTTAGGATTATTTTACAGTTGATAGACTTAGCACTGTATTATGGTTTAACAGGTAACTCCTATTTCTTAAAATGAATAACATTTTTAAAAAGTTTAAAGTCATGTTCATTTTAGAAATATTGGACAATGTTGAAAATAAGAGAAGAGTATTTATCTACAATCCCATCACCCAGAGAATACAACTGTTAGTCAATATTTTGTTATAGTTTTCCAGAATTTCCTACATATACATATGAAAAATGTCTTAAAATAAAATTAAGAAGATACTGAGTACAACATTATGTGTTCATATTTTTCTATTAATTTTATTATGAACATTTTCTGTCACCAAAGTCTTAAAACATTTTAGTGGCTGCATCACATTCAGTTATTGGACTTTACCAGGATTTACTTAAAAAATTCTTCTATGGTTGGACATAAATATTATTATAAGTTTTTCTTACTATAAAAACTAACTGTGACTAATATCTTTATATATAAATCTTTGTATTTCTTAGAATATAGTCCTATAAATAGCAGTGTGGGATCAAAACAATCTGGACATTTTTAAGGCTCTTAATTCATATTTCCTACTTGCTTTGCAGGAAGATCATAGTCATTTATCTCCATCTTCCCCAGCAGCATATAATACTGTACCTTACCTAACAATAAATATGATAGTGAAAAAATTCTCCAGTGATAGTGATAGTGATAGTTTGTGATAGTGAAAAAATGTGTAGAGAAAGATGGTATCCAGCCAGTAACTCTTCTGAGAGTAAACCTGACTGTGGCCCCCAGTGCCGCAGGATAAAGTCCACGCTCCTGTCACAGGCACCCAGGGCCCAGCAGGATGACTGAGCCTTGGCCAGCCTTGGCCATTCTTCACTTGGGCATGGTCAGAAGTGACTGTGAGCCACTGAGAATGATGATGCCTTCTCCTGCATGTTCTGACTCACACAGGGAGTAGACAGAAGGCCTGGGAGGGAAACTGGGAGCTCATGCTGAGCTGTGTAGATCTGCAGTCAGTGGACAGGAGGGCTGGACTCCTGCTTGGAGGCCAAACAAGCCCAGCTCTCCCACAGTACTGAGGCCACTGAGGCCAGAGCAGGAAAGGGAGTGAAGCACTTTGGGACTCCAGGTCTGTTTCTGCTAGGTGCTCACTGAGTTCTTAGAAAGGGAAGCTCAAAGAGGCTGAGCACCAAGCAGCGACAGCTATTGAAGCATCCCAGAGATGGGGTGAGGGGTGGCAGAGAAGCGCCCAAAGCCAGGTGAGGGCTGGGCAGGCAGCACTGGAATTTGTAGTTTTCCTGCTACTAAGAGGGGAATGGGGACCTGTAGGCTCTGGGCTGCTCTGGGTGGTTGCTATCCCAGGGCCAGACAGGTCTGAGGGTCTTGAACTCTGGGCCTCACTGCTGCCTCTACTGTGACCTCCAAAAGAGGAGAGGCTTTGCTTGTCATCTGTGGGCTCCATCCCAGTTCTGCTCACATTTGAGGATGACCCCAGGCTCTGCCATTACCATCCTTAAATTGCCATGCTCATATATTTCTGAAACTTGTGCAGGACCGGAGATTGAGTAGTTCTGGATGCCAGGACAGAAGTGGGATGAGATGCTCTGTGCTTTTAGAATAGCACTGGAATCTAAAATCACAGGAGAGGCACAGTGAGAGGAGCAAAGTGGGGTGGTTCCCTGGTGCAGGTGGCACGGAGCTGAGCCTGAGGGGTTAGGTGGTTCTTTAGCCTATGGAATGTGTGTTGGGAGGAGCTGCTTTGTGTGGACAATTCAAGAAGAGTTCAGAGGTGGGTAGTGCAGAGAAGGGTGAGGATGTGGGGCAGAAGAATGGGGAGCTGGTCAGGCAGGGCCAGCTGTAAGGGGCTCAAGTGTCCCTGCAGAAAAGTGCCACTTTGTCTTGGGACAGTGGGCAGCTGTTTATGAGTTTCAGTGGGAAGAGTGATGCGATCTCATGCACTTTTCACAATGATCCCTCTGAATGCTACCTGGAACATAAATTGGAAGGAGAAACGAGACTAAAGTCTTGAGAGCATCCAGGAGGCTGCTGTGGAGGCCCAGGGAGGGAGGCTGTGTTTGGACCTGAGGTCACAGCAGGACAAAGAGCAGAGGGCAATTGGTGAGCTATTCAGTGGGAGAATTAGTGGAACTTGGTATTGCCTTTCTGGGATACCTGTAGCCCTATGCCCTGTCCCACATTGACAGTGGCAATGATGGCCTCACTTTGCTGAACCCTGCCCTCCCTCACCTGCAGGCTTGTTTGCTGCCACATATCTTCTTGGCAGCCTCCTTCACCTCCTTGTTCCTCAGGCTGTAAATGACAGGGTTCAGCATGGGTGTGACCACAGCATAGAGGACTGTGAAGACTTCATCAGAGATGTGGGGCTCCTTGCTCTTGGGTTTCATGTACATGAAGATGACGGTGCTATAGAAAAGCAGCACCACAGCCAGGTGTGCTGAACAGGTGGAGAAGGCTTTTCGGTGCCCTGTGGCTGAGGGCACCCTCAAGATGTTGGCCAGAATGAGTGAGTAGGATAGGCAGATGAGGGTCAGGGGCACAGGCAGCAGCAGGATGGCACCCAGCAGCAGGAAGGCCTCGCTGACTGATGTGTCACTGCAGGCCAGTTTCAGCAATGCTAGGATCTCACAGGTGAAGTGACTGACCATGCAGTGGCCACAGAAGGGCAGCTTCATGGCTATGACTGTCTCAGTCACTGACTTGATGAAGCAGAACACCCATGCGGTTCCCACCAGCAGCAAGCAGAGCCGGTGGCTCATGAGCACGGGGTATCTGAGTGGTTGGCAAATGGCTAGATAGCGGTCATAGGCCATGATGGCAAGCAGCAGGCACTCTGTGGAGCCCGTGGACAGGCTAAGACACATCTGGATGGCACAGCCAATAAAGGAGATGGTCTTCTGTGATGACAAGAGGTGGATCAGCATCAGGGGCACAAAAGTGGATGTGTAGCAGATGTCCAAGATGGAGAGGTTGCCCAGGAAGAAGTACATGGGTGTGTGCAGGCGGGCATCTAGAATGCTCACTGCCACAATGGCTGTGTTCCCCAGCAGGGTAATCAGGTACATGGCTGAGCATAGAGGGAACAGCAGGTGCTCCAGAGCTGGGTAGCCTGAGAATCCCTTCAGGAAGAACTCAGAGACCACTGTCCCATTGACAGGCTCCATGCTGCAAGCTCTGCAAGGATGGAGAGCTTGGAGGGAAGAAGAGAGGGTGCACGGTGGTGGCAGCTCACTGAGCCTCTTCTGAGACTTGAGAGGTTGCTAGGGTCTTTGCCAGCTCAGACATACACTCTCCCTTTGTGACTTTGGGGCATTCCCATTACCCTCTCTAGGACTCAGTTTATCCATATGAAAAATGAGAGTTGATTTTGATCAGCATTTCCCTAAGAGAATGTTAATGGAAGTGTGAATAGGCAATCTGAAAAGTCACTTTGCAGCAATGCTAGATTAATAATTAACAGTCCTCTTTACTGCAGAACTTTATGCTAATGTGATTTGTGATTTTTTAAAAAGCACTGGAGAACATGTGCTCCCCATATTTATATGGCTCTGGATCTCCCTTTCACAGAATACCACTTAACCTACTGCAGGTAAGTGATATGTGGACATAGTTTGGGGGTCAATGGTTTGGATCAGAAATCCTCAAACTTGCACATGTACCAGAATCACCTGGAAAGTGTTAAAACACAGATTGCTGCTTCCACTCCCAAAGCTTCTGACTCAGTAGGTCTGAGTGATGCTGTTGCTGGCCAAGGTACTATGCTTTGAGAACCCCTGGGATAGACAGTCTCAGGATCACCCTGGCTTTGAGGCAGCCCGAGTCATTGCTTAAACCGTTCATTGCTGTGATCCTCTAAGCCTGTCAATGAGTGTGTCCTCCTGTCCCCACAGGGCCTGATTCATCAACTACTTATGGAGGTTGGACCTTCAGGTCCTGCCTTTGCTGTGGACTTTCCATTTAAAGTTGATGGATCTTTTGACCCAGCCTTAGGTTCTAGTTTCTTTGGGGCAAAGGCAAGGTTGCTCTGAATTCATGAACTACAAGGGTGTTAGCATAAAAAATGCCCTTAAAGGTCTACTTGTTGGATGCTCCATGGTTTGCAGGTTGGGAAACTGAGGTCATATAGTGGGTCTGGGGAAAGTGAGCCTTGAATTTGGTCTTCCTGGCACATGCTAAGGATGGATGTTTGATTTCATCAAGCCCCTCTCTGCCTGCTCCTGTTGCTCTAGATGGATGTCCTTCTCCCAAGTCCTCCCCACAATCCTCTCACCCGCTAAGGAGCAGAATTCAACCTCTCCTTAGTTTTTCTGAGTGCGTGGCAAGGTGCCATTGATCGAGTTGCACCCAATGCCATAGCCTGGGCCCGGTTGAGCACTAGTTCCTTTCAGTGCTCATTTGCATGATCCTGTTTCCTTCTCTTATTCCTCCCTCCTTTATTTATCCCCAAATCAAGAAAGAATTGAAGACCTACTACATGCCAGGCATTGTGCTATGCCTTGGGGGAGCAAATGAGGACAAGTGTGCTCCTAGGCCACTTAATCCAAATTCTTTCCAGGCAGAAATCCTCTCTACCCTTCCATACCTGGTCTCATTCTGCTTTTGTTTCCACATCCCTGGTGACAGGAAATTCATTAATAACATGGCTTTTCTTTTCTTCTCTCCTCTCCTGTCCCCTCTCCTCCCCCCCCCCCCCGGAATTTGCACTGAGCTATATCCCTAGCCTCTTTTTTTACTTTTTAATTTTCAGACAGGGTCTTGCTAAGTGGCTAAGTTGCCCAGGTTGGGCTTGAACTTGCAATCTGCTTGCTTCAGCCTCCCAGACTGCTGGGATTACAGGTGTGTGCCAACATGCCCAGCTACTTTTCTTCCTTTCTTTTTATTGACAGCCCACTTCAAGGGTCACAGTGGTCCTCTACCACCTCTAAGTGTCCAGGCCGGAGGTCTCTGTAGATACTCTTTCTTCTCACACAGTACAAACACAGGGTCCAATGCTTAGCCCTACACACTGAGCCTTACCTTAGAGAATCAAGGGCTGCTTCTGCAGCAGGATCTAGACTTGGGGCTCAGATAGAAGACCTCAACTTGGCTGTCCAGAGCCTCTATGGGATCAGGGGGAGTGTGAGCTGTGAGCTCCCTCCAAGACTTAGTAGGGAAACTCTGAGGCTGGTTTCCTGGGGGAAGAGATACCCCCATCCAACAGAGTGCCAACAGACAGGTACTGTGCCAGGCTGGGGGTAGGAGTGAGACACAGAGATGGCACGGTGTTTTCCTTGCAGCCCCAGTGACTGGGTTAGGCTACACCCTCTTTGCATGGTTCCACATTCTACAATTTTTCCCTGGCAGTCAGCAGGAAATGTCTGCATCTGTAGCAATTGTCAACTCATTGGAATATTACATACACACACAGGCACCCACCTATATGTGAATGTACAAACACCTGTTTGACATGTGGGTGTGTAAATATGTGCTTGGGTGTGAATATGCCACACATACGTTCATGTGTGATCATTCACATGAGTGTATGTGCTTAGTGTCCCCTCCCTCCACATGCACAGAACAGGGCAGACCCTTGGTCCTGTGGCCAGGGTGCTTCACAGGATGATTTAATTCCTGGGAGGTGGTGCATGGAAATGACAGTCAGACAGGAGCTTCAGAAGAATCACCAGGGAAGGAGCAGCCCTGAGGGTGGGGAGCAAACTCTACCTAGGATGAACCATGAAGGCAAAAGAGCCCTGGAGCAGGGACAAGGTCACCAAACCAGTTTAGAGTCTTGTCAGCTTCCCAGCCTGCTTGCCAAGGATGTGTTTCCAGCTCTGTCCTCTCTCCTTCAGCTAAGGGAAGGGGATGAGGGGAAGAGGAGAAGGGAAGCAGGGCCTTTGTCTGCTGAGCCTGCAATGTTTTTTCTGCCTTCCTCTGTCTCTGGGCCAAACTCTATGTACAAATCAGTTCAAATGATACCTCCCCTGGGGGAGCCTTTCTTTGTCTCCACCAAGCCAGCCAGAGCCTCTCTCCTTTGGACTCCGTGACCCTGTTTGTGCCTCTGGGATGACACACGCCTCTTACTTCTGGACCATTGCCCATCTGTGCCAGCCTACAAGGATGTCATCTCCTTTCCCCACTTCTCTCAGGTTCTGAAAGCCAAGTTGAGGTCCCACCCTGTGTAAAGTCAACTTCCTCTTGTCTAATTGTGACTTTCTGGGGCTAAGGTAAGCTGAATGGAGAGCTTGTTGCCAAACATGGGCCACTCCTAGCCTAACTGTCACCCTGGCAGAGCTGGGCAGGGTCATACAGCTCAGCTGGACCACTCCCATGTTATACATGGGGAATCTGAGGCCTGGAGAGGGGGAAGGGGCTTACTCAGTGAAGCACAGTGAGTTAAAGGGGAAGCCAATGCCCTGGTAGTTCTTCAGGGCTCTAGACTCCTTTCTCTTCCTCCACATCCCCATTTGTCACTTACCTTCAGGTTCTTCTACATACATGTCTTTGGCTTGCTAGAAGATGTTCAGAGTGTTTGAGACCAGTGACTTCCTTTGGATGGAGCTGGGAGCACACAAATCAAAGATGCCCTAGCTGCCTCTATACAGAGCATCTTGTTGGGGAGGACCCAGAGCTTAACTCCAGTCCAGCTTTCCGCTGGGCGCCAGGATGCGGGGTGATCCCAGTTGAAATAAAGGAAGCAGGTATCACTGCAGGAAGTAATTTGGAGGAAGCAGCTTTCCCAAATCCTCTTGCTCAGGAATCCTGTTGCAAGTTTCTATCATCCCAAGAAGCAGAGGCCTCAGCTCCTTTCCTAAGAGACTCCAGCCCAATGGTGGTATGTCAGTTGAAAGGGGGCACACAGGTGCTGTGTATAGACAATTCTGGCACAAGAGAACTAAAAGCACTCCATTTGGTTCCTTAGTATCAAGAACAAAATAATTGTCTACAGTTAGATGTCCCTACGCTGCTACTTTGGTAGGAAGATTTTTGCTAGTACCAGCGAAACTAAATCTCATTACAGAACAACTTGACAGTGGTGCCCTCCCATCAGCAGCCAACACCGGGCCTGCTTTCCCCTCAGAACTGACTCTTTCAGGACCACCAAAAATAACTTTGGCTGGGTACCACGATTGCTTCGCCAGCAGGGACTTTTGCAACAACTGCAGTTGTAATAATTCTTGCAACAGTTTACATCACGAAATTGAATGGTTTAATGCCATTAAAGTAATACATTTTAAAAGCATTTAAAAATATGAAAATATGCCTAGACTTTCATTGGTTCGATGAGGTGTTTGCAACTCAATAGAATAAAGTGGAGCTTCTAAAATTTGGCAGATCAAGTGCTGAGAATTCAGTGGGGGTTTTATGAAGAGGGTCAGATTTGGTAGAACTAGGACATTCTGGTGGGCTCAATGGTGAAGAAAAGTCTCCAATAGTTTATGTGGGCAGCGTCATGGAGCCTCTGGTCTGGTCCGCTCCCAGCTGCATCCTGGCTGACAGCCTCCAGGAGAGCATGCTGGCCAAACAGGTGGTATCTTTCAAAGCTCCCTGTGCACTAAGGGACTGTGTAATCCCAGTGCAATTTAGAGGAAGGAGAGAAAATGTGCCCAATTTAGAAACTTTGAGGTGCTTCAGGGATGATGTCACAAAGACCCAATTATCCAGAGTCTGTTTAGAGCTTTTAATTGGTGTGGAGAAGTTGGAGAAAGTGGCTGTGGGCCAGGGATCCATCCTCACATCCATCCCCAACCAGTGCTAGTCCAGGAATATTTACAGAAGGAATGAAGGAATGGATGGATGATCAAATAAATGAATGCATAAGCAATTTTCAATGAACAGATTTAAAAATAAATGAATAAGTGAGTGAATAAATGACATGCAGAGTTGCTTTCCAAGCGGCAAGATACAGGTTCTGGCACAACTCCCATTGAGATCTTACAAAAGTGCAAAAGCTGGAAAGAGTGTAATAAAGGAGTGACCAGGATGAAAAGACCAAAAGAAAATTCTAGAATATCAGAGCAGGACAGTCCTTAAAGGCCATCTTGACCAATACATTGTATAGACAGAAGACTGCCCTAGAGGGGAACAAGTTCAGTGTCAGAGGCAAAAGCTCAGTACTAGTTCACCCTGACACTAATTATTTCACCTTTGAACCATACAATTTCCCTCAGCCAATGCAATGGCC